AAAAAACTCTACAAATGCAATCATCCTTGTAGAAGTGTATGGAATGAACCCCGAAGTATTAAAAAAACTTGTCATACAAATGTACTAACTGCCAAAGTTGACAAAAGCAGACACGTTAAGTGGTGTCACATGATCATAGACATCATAATCTTGCACATTTAACTTCAATAAACTAATTTTCACTAATGCAAAAAACATATAACCTGCATTGTTTACCTTTAATAGCTTTTCCTTTTCATGGGGTATAACAAAGGTGAGGAACGATTTGCTCACGTCTTTAGGCGAAACACCCAAATGTTGCATCGGCAAATTAATACAGTGTTACTACCTTTGATGTTTTCAATAAAAGGCTCTTACCTAGCTGACATTTGACTTACAGATTTGAAAAGCTCTTTCACAGCGATATGCTGAGCTGTACTAACAGAGCTCTGTGTACTAGAAACATCACTGGCAAAGCTTATATTTGCAATAAAACCCTTCCCAAATCGTGATTTCAGCCTTATTGAAGTACCAATGCAGCGAAGTCTGCCCTTTGCCATGATCCCTATTCTATCACTTAAGATGTTAGCCTCCTCCATAGAGTGAGTTGTTAGAATAATCGCACGACCCCTTTTGGCATTCTCGATCACATCACATACGTGTCTTCGGGTGATGGGATCCATGCCTGTAGTCTGTGAGTTCATAAATAACATTTGTGAAAAATATGTAACCAGAGATGATTAATGGAGCAAAAAAAAAAAAAAGAAGCCATTTCTGTGAACCCACCGACTCATCCAAGATAAGCAATTTCGGTTCACCAATTAGAGCAATAGCGACACTCAGTCGGCATTTCATTCCCCCACTATAGCTACATGACCTCACTTTGGCTTCATAGAAAGTTTTACTTCTGCTAATAATTTTTGTGCAATCTGTAATTTAGAAATATAATTTCATTTTTGTTTCTTGATAGAAGAAAAAGTAGAAATACTCTTAGTAGATGATAGTAAAAGTTCGATACGGCAATTAACTGCTTTGATTTTGCAAAGTCCTTACCAGACTTTATGGAAGCAGGGTTCAGACCTTTGATGCTCGCAAACAGGTAAAGATGCTCTTGACCAGATAAAGCATCCCACAGGATATCAAACTGTGATATCAGCATAAAAATGAGTTAATTTATTGTTGACAACATACTAGGCGACTGCATTTTATTTTAAAGTAACCATTAACAGAAATATATTTCTTTCTCCACAGATGAAGCGTTGATCTGTTCGGCTGTCATATAATAAATTTTCTTTCAGAGCACCGGAATCTTATTTTTTTGGTATAAAAAGAGAAGAAAAACTGAAGATATAGAAAAAGGAGAACTGTAACAACTCAATAGCACCATGAGGAGCAGTAAAAGAAAGAACCTGAGGAAAAACTCCTATCATCCTACGAATCCTTGACATCCCAGTAGAGCTTCAGATAGAACAGCCGTAAGCTAATGCTGTTAATAAGTAACATTCAAAAGTTAATTGCAGTAGTAAAAAACTTGATAATACCAAATAAATTGGCAATAAAAAACATTCTCACCATTCTCACAACTAGACAAACTTTACCTTGATCGCATGGTAAGGCGAGGTTCTCTTGCATTTGCAACAACCAATCTTTGTTGTTCCAGAATAAGTTTTCACTAGGCCACGTATCTGAACTGCAATGTTTGGATTAGCATTACCTCCCGAAGCTTGTTGTTTTACTAAGTTTTCCTCCACTTGTACGTCCTCGTCATCTGGAACAATATTTTCAGTAGGTGGAGTTGAACCCCTGCAGCTGCAAATGCTCCCCTCTGAAGTTGAAGAGGCATTTCCCTCAAGTCTCAGAAACCATAAAAAAACCAACCAAAGCCGTTATTTGTTTAACAGAAAAATAATTTAATCGATACCTGACGACTTGTTTCCACCTCTCTCAGTCCAGTACCCATGGTGCAGAAAATAGAACATTGATTTTCTCACACCAGACACATTTGGGAAAATATAGTCAAAGTAGATGGCCAGAACAAACCACAAACATGATATTGACGATAAAACACAACAAATACTTAATTAATTCCATATTTAAATATGGAATAACAACTACAATTTAATTATTCCCCATGTCCCACAAGTAAGAAATTGAGAATTTGTCATCTTGCACTCTCTCCATGTTGCTATATGGACCCAGAATAAAATTTAACGAACACGCAAGTAATAAGTCATGAATACCAAAATAAACAGTGAAATCAACTCCGTATTCGTGATTTTTGTGAAATTTCTTTTTCTGTCAGTTAATATTCATTATTTATCACCTCCTAATTCTATACAGTAATTGTTTCCTACTTTATACAAACTAAGGACCTAATTTAGTGCCAGCAGAAAAAAAGTTCCAACATATGAACATTTGAATAATTTAGCAGCCAAACATTTGCCCATGTTCGACATACCATTGTTATGACACATTCTGTGTCGTTTGGTGCACATCGCGTCCTACCATCCCAACTGATACCAGGATCTTAATGAGTTGCAGTCGCATCAGAAAGCAAACTTAAACCAGCAGCAAGAAGATTAGGTGGAAAAAATGACCACACAATTTGGTATGTATCCGAGAATGTCTCACTGTAAGGAAATCCGAATCTCGTAACAAGCTGAAAAAGAATGAATAGAGATGTCATCCAGAAAGATAGGCTCATGCTCATTTATTCCCAAGTGAAAAGTTTTTCTCATTTGAATTGGTAAATATACAGTTCAAATTCCAAATTACCAATTCATTATTCCAAAACCCAT